TTACATATACATATACATATACATATACATACATACATATGTATGTATGTGTGTGTGTGTGTATATATATATGTGTAAATGTGTGTGTGTGTATATATATATATATATTTATATATATGAATATAGGTCTTATACATTTTAAGGAAGCTTGACAGAGAAGACCAAGAGAGAGAGAGACGACAAGTTTAAGTCTATTAGGCTACACTAAAAGAAAATGGACTGCACTAAAAAATAGGTTTATTCAAAATTTTAAAGGGGCCCAAGGTATCAAGGCGAGGTAAGGCGAATTAAGGCGCGGTAAGGCGACGCCTAGGCGAGCGCCTGGTCGCCTTAAGGTTTTCTAGGCGAGGCGAGCAGACAAGGCGTCCCAGTGACAATGCCTTATCGCCTAGGCGACGCATTACAAACTATGGCTTTCATATGATTTAAACTTTATCTTATTATTTTTGTTTCTCAATTCAGCGCAACGTATAATATCAGCCTTACACAAATAGCTGTAGAGAAAAATATCACAAGTGTTGATTTTACAGCCATATTTGACTCTGGTACTTCCTTCACGCTCTTAACAGACCCTGCATACACAATCATTACAGAGAATGTAAGTTCAGTACATGATTTCTGATATCTACAATTTATTTATTTATTTTATTTTATTTTTACATTTGAGCTAAACATGCTATATTGTCTATGCAGTTCAATTCATTTGTGAAGGAACCACGTTCTAATATTGCTTCTTATTCGGACACTCCTTTTGAATACTGCTATGAATTAAGGTTGGTCGTTGAAGTGTTTTTTTAACAATCATATTCAACAAAACACAAAGTTATACTTTGCATAACCCCTCCCTTCCCTCCCTCTCAACAAACCAAACAAAGTAACACTCGCGAACCATTTGGGGAGAAAGCATCATTAATGTGACATATGTTCTGAAATCTGAAATGAAAGTGTTTAAAAAGATTTGAAATAATGGTTGTTAGTGATGGTGGTGGTGACCAGTGATGATTGGTGGGCCAACAACACTGGGTGGCGGTTGTGGGAGAGATCTCCCAAAATCGGGAGATATCAAAATACTTTCATTTGGAAGAGTGGTGACATCGGGAGATATTAATTCCTAACTGTTTTTAGGCTTCACCAAATACCCACAAAAGAATCCATATCTCATGCGCTCACTCTTGGAAACCGACTCTCTACTTTCAAGTAGGGATAAGGTTTGTGTGCACACACCCTCCTCAGACCCTACTTTCGTGGGATTCTACTGGGTTGTTGTTTTATCCCATGCACTAACCAAACCAGCCTTAAAATCTCTTCTTCTTTTGAAGGAGATGAAGCAGACACAAAAGTGTTAGAGTTGGACTACGAGTCTCAACATATAACATTGAGGCTCGTACTCGAGCTCTTATATGTTGATGCCTTGATGGGCTTATTTATTGTTTAATTAATCGCCCTTTCTGTTTTTGCTAGTCCAAAACAAACATCTCTTGATGTTCCTGATGTGAACCTAACAATGAAAGGTGGTGACCAGTTTTATGTTTTTGATCCGATAGTAATATTTTCCCCCAAGGTAATATAGTGTTACTTTGTGTTTTTTAGTCAATCCTTTTTTCTAATTTCTATTATGTTGTACTTAACATTTTCTCTATCGGCAGAGTGGTCAGTATATTTACTGTTTGGCCGTTGTCAAAAGTGGAGATATCAACATTATTGGACGTAAGTATTTCTGGAATTTATTCAAATAAACTAGGTGTTTTTTATTTCTTGTTTTATTTCACTTAAAAAAACAGAAAATTATGCATGACATTTTGTAGGCAGGAAAAATTCATATGGACTTACTCTAAAAATCTCATGCTTAATATATTCATAATAAATCATATATTCAAAATAGACATTTGGAAGTTTGAAACAATATCATACTCCGTAATAACAAAACACATTATAATCTCAATTCCTTTTAAGATTTTCTCTTTTGTTTCATGATTGAATTGCATCTAAATTTCTACCATGTCATTTACGGCGCTTCAATTTTTTTGATCTTTTCTTATTAATTTTTTTTCATATTTTATTTTATTTTTCCAGAAAATTTCATGACCGGTTACCGGGTGGTTTTTGACAGCGAGAAACAAGTTTTGGGCTGGGAACCATCAGATTGTAAGTTCTCTTCACTCTGCCTCCGGCTAGAGGCCGTAGTTTTAATTATAATGACAAGCTTTCTTCTTCTTCTTTGGAACTCGGATTAGGTTACAACCGTAGTAAACAATCCAACACCACTACTCTTCCGATAAAGAAACCAAAAAGGCCAGCAGCTGAAGCACCTTCGCCTGCGGCTATAAAACCGGAGGCCACTTCAGGCAGCGGAAATACACCACCGCCTCCCCCGCCCCTCTCGTTTCCATCAGCTTTGGTACCTCCACCTACCCCAAACAATGCATCACTCTTGAATTGTTTCTTTGCCACACTTATGCTACTGCATTTGTCTCTCTTGCTGTTTTTTGATCTTTAGAGAAGAAATTCTATTATTGCACACCAATTCTTTCGTATACTAATTCTTATATCGCTCATAATTTTTGCCCAAATTGTTTTCACTAAAAACTGACGTTAGGATTGAAACTTTGCGCCTCATGAATTACCCGAGTAAAATTTCGGAACAACCTAGCGGTTGATTCGTTGGGTCATACAACTTGAAATCTGCATAATAAAATGTGGAAAAATTCAAGTTGTGGGATTTTTTTGCGATGAACCAACCATTGGATTGTTCTAAAATTTTACGAGGGCAATCTATGTTGCACTAACTCTCAATAACACGACCGGTGAAAACAATCCGAGCGGAAGATACGACCGGTGTAAAAATAGGTGTAAGAAAAAATTGAAGTAAGATTTGAGCTTTTTACTTCACCAGTTTTTATATACTCCCTAGGAAAATGGTGATATTATTTGTTGTAAAATAGAGGTGTATGTATATAGTGTATTTACTCAACTTCATTATTTGATGAAATATTGTTGTATTCCATAATACTCCGTATAATTTTTTTTTTGCATTATATACTTATAGTCATAAAAACTTGTGCAATATCTATACTCTTAAGATTTATTGGGTGCATTTGGTTTTTTGTTCAGCAACTACAAACTGCGAGTATTTAGCAAGTATAGATATTTGTATAGAAATAAGATTACATCATTAAAAATATATTAAAAGTTTTACAAAACAGGTAAGGGCTTGCATAATTTAATTTTTTAAAAATGATCAATGAAAGTATACAACCGAAGAAAAGTTATCGAGATACAGTAATTACTAAAATACTTTTCATAATTACTAAAGAATGACACTCATTCTAAAATACTCATTTGTCTTCAATGTCTCTTCGTGGGAGTGGAAGTCTTCCATTTGAGACTTGAGAGTCAGACCAAATAAAAAATCCAATATCACTTTTTGCTCTTCAACAGTGTCTTGATTTTTCCATCGCAATTTAAGATACTAGTTTTTTGAAACCGCAAATAATAGTAGTAATAATAATAGTAATAATAATAATAATGATGATGATGATGATGATGTTTGATAAGAATTTGAGATACTACTTGCTTTCTCCGGTCTTAAAAATTTTTTTGTTTTGATTTTTTTTCAGTCTAACAGTGACATTTTTTGTCTACAAATTAAATATAACCTAAATAATTAAATATTACTCCGTATAATAATTTGATATATCAAATTATATCCTAAGATATAAGATGAAGTTAATTATATTGAATTTATATAAAATTCAATATATTTTTCTCATAATTAGTGGTTAAAGTGTGTTATTGTTTCACCAAAATAATCAAAACACGAAGATTTTTTAGGACCAGAGAGAGTATTATTTATGATTTTGATAAAATTATATTCAATTTAATTCATTTAAATATTTGTGTACATTTCAAAATAAAAATAATATTCACAGCATTTAAACAATATAACAAACGTTTTATGAATTAAGATTAGATATAATATTTATTTTATTAAATAAGTGAAAATTTCACTAAATGAATAATGTATATGTAGCTTAAATTGAGATGGAGAGCGGACATTTTTCAGAAATTGTTTGAAACTCCCATTTAAACCATGCAAGTTAGAAAATTTAGAACCTAAATCAAAGATGACTTGAAGTGAATAAAACAGAATTACTTTTCACAAAACATAGTACTCCCTCCGTCCCAGAGTATTCGTCCAGTTTTGACTTTTGGAACTGTTCATGTAAGCACTTTGACTCATCAAATTCTCTCAATGTGTAAGCCTAAATATAGTCATATGTAATCTTGTTTGATTTGTCTTAACATATAGATAATTAATATATAATTTCTATAATTTTTTAATATACAAATTATAAGATAAAATAGATTAAAAAAGTGTATTGGATGGTGTGTAAAAATGAAAGTAGACAAACACTCTGAGACAGAGGTAGTATTTGTTTTTTGAAAACGAGCTTACCACTCCACCAAAAACAAAGTGACCAAAATTCACCCAAATGAAATGCAACCAAACCAAACCGACTCGAATCTTGTTGGCCAAAAACTTATCGAACCTAGACCAAATGATCCGATTGACAGGTGTTTATTTCACACGTAAAATGATTCACAAGAGTGTAAATGATTAAAAGAACACCACATAAAATGACTCACACAATTACTCGTAATTTAATACTCGAAACAAACATCATAAACTCTTTGCAACCCAACAATTTGCACACGAAGGGAATAACAATCTAAACACAAAAACTACATTTGAAAAATCAATCTAAAATAATGAGCAAATTGGAAGAAAAAACTGCAAAAAGAATTTGTAAAAAAAAGGAAGTAGGGAGTATAACAATGTTTTCCTACTTTAGCTTTGTATAGCACATTTTACTTCACCTTTTCTTGGTCAGTTTATTTGTAGAGGGCAGTTGGATTTGTTTGGACTTCATTTTAATGGACTTGACAAGAGAAGAGATTTCGTTCTTATCGTTGTTACTTGAAGGCAACTCCTCTGCTGCTGTCGCTTCGAGTTCTTTGGGTGATTCCACTCCCCTGCCTTTCTCCTTTTCTTTGACGGTTTCTTGATGCTTCTTCTCAAACATCTGGCGTGCATAAACTGCACTCCTGTAACATCGAAACACCAAACGGATAATGTTTTAAAAAAAATTTGCATAAAATTGTTGAACAAATATAGCATCAAAAAGATAAAACATTTTAAACAGAAGTATCCCGCAAAAAAAATTGTATCAAATGTTTCAGCAAGGATACTTTGACACCAACATGGGTGTCGTATTATGACACCAGACGATTTGAGGGCTCTATAGTGCTCCCTTTGACCCCCCCCACCCACCCTTGGGTTCACCGTAATGCCAGTCGTAGCAAAATAGTGAACTCAAGGTGGGAGTAACGGGTTTAGGGGAGGGGAAAGGAACCACTTTGGGTTGAACAGAACACCGTAGGGCACTCAAACCGCATGATTGCCATAATACGACACCCATGTTGGGTATCAAAAGAACCAATGCGCAAAAGTTTTGTGTTTTAAATGTATAAGGTCACGTGAGAAGGCTATACCTCTTGAATTGGGGATCCGTGGGATCCAAAGCAAATTGTGGTAATTTTAAGAAACTGGAAAACCGAGGATCCTCATAGTCCATGGTCGGTATCTTATCCTCATCAATAATTCCTTTTTGTTTTCTATCTTTACCCTTCTTCCGCTTTAAGTTATATCCCTTCAAGTTGGTGCCTGAACCTTTTTCATCCGCGAGCAACAACTCAAGCTCTGCCAAACTTGCTTCATTTTCTTGGGCCGTTCCTTGATCATCAGGTTTCCCTTTCCCAGCACGCTTTCCTTTCTTGTCCTTATTCTTGATATCCAAATGTTCCTTGACAAAAAAATCATCAGGTTCTTCTATATGTTCTTGATAATCATCACTGCTCTCGTCCTGTGATGAATCCTTTGATCTGTTTTTCCTAGCACTCTTTTTCTCTCTCCGCTTTCTAAGATGGGCTTCCCATACAGATTCGGATTGCTTGTCTTTCTTTTCAAGAATCCGCTTGCTTAAATCTTCCAAGCCAGTATTGAAGGTGACCTCCATATCCTCGCGATCATCGTCTTTATCACTAGCATCAGAACCATTTCCAGATTGAAGTAAAGCACGATACTTTTCCTGCCTTTTGGGTTTCTTCGTGGTTCTATCTCCACAGTCTTCATCATTTTCATCATCACCATCAGCTTCTTCATCACTATCATCAGAAGCCAAAAATTCTTTCAGCTCCAATTCTGCAAGCTGGCAGTGTAATACAATGTTAGCAGTAGTTAAAAACACCAAACCAAAATCCCACAAAAATTAGTGGGCAATTTAAGCCAGTTGTGTAACTTGTGTTCATCGAGTTATTAATCCAGTAGAAAGGTTATTATACTAGTAATCCATCTCTTGTTGTTGTTTTCATCCACTACCTCCGTCCCAAATTAGTTGTATAACTTTGATTTTACGGAGTTCAAGAAAAGTATTCAAAAGAAAATTAAAATTTGTTTAGAATCAAGAGAAGGGTTGTGAACCAAATATTCTTTACTTTATTAAGAAAGTAAAGAAAGTGTGAAAATCATTTAGGGACAACCCAAAAAAGGAAAGTGTTATAATTTATTTATTTGGAACAGAGGGAGTATTACTTTTTTTACTATCCATTATGCATAAGCACATTTTTAAACCATCAAATAAACACACTATTTGATACATCTGTCACCTCTATTCAAAAGTTAACAATCAAATTGGTTCAAGGAAAGTCGATGGAGAAGAGAACTCTTCATTGGAACAATTCCCCAAGCCATAATCTTTTTTCCATTTGACCAACCAAAATAGAAAATACTCTGTAACGATTTGGGACTAGCAAAAACACTTGGGTTTGAAAAGTTAAAACCAAAACAAACCTGATCGGCATTGAATTTTCGTTTCAAGGTCTTTATACGCTGTGGCTCATCCTCATCCCATGTAAGTTCAACATTACTGTGTTGGAGTGCTCGGGTAAGAAAATCTAATCCTTCATAGCTGGCTGGTGCCTGAGAGGAAATAAAAATGAAAAATCACCCTTCCATTATGTTTGTATTCACTGTTTCTAGCCGATAAAATTACTCACTAACATCTTTGTAGAAAAAAAGATATTTTGATATTCAAGGTACAAGCTTTTACAAGTAATGAATGAACACTTATACCCCCTAGTCCCTACACTAAACTCCAATATTCTTTGGAATAATTGGCTGCAACCACTTTTAACTAATAGATCCGGATTCCTTTTTTAGGGAAGCAGTCCATTCCTAAAACAAGACTTGTCTTTGGGACAATGAGAGTAAAAAAAATTAGCAGTGTAAACTTTTCTTCGGTGATTATACATGCCAATGAATACAGTACCTCGGTCGTTACATCACGTGGCTCGTGCTTAAATTCCATGGAATCAGGAATAAACCGCAAATCCAACTTATTAGACGTTCTTTCAAATTCAACTCCATCACAATTTTTGTAAAGGTGATCTGCAGTAGAAATTGAATCACAGACCACTACAGCGCAATAATACCTGCACATATAACAGAGATGTGACCATGCATAATAAGATAAATATGAAAGGAAACAAAAAGAACCAAATTTAGGTCTCCGTGTTTATAAGATCAATTTGAAAGGTAAAATTTTGATAAGACAGTTCATGACTAAAAACGTTGTATTGATACAAGAATATAAAATAACGGCAATCAATCATCACCTGAGCCTACTTAATTCATATTTACGTAATTTCTCATTTTCAATTTCATCATCGTCATCATCATCATCATCGCTATTTTTGTTCTTTTCATTATCTTCATCAAATAGACCAACTGGACCATGGACTGCCTCTTCTTCCATGCGCTTTAGTCCAAACTCAGTTGGATAGACAGCAACAGACTTAATGTGGCCTCCTTTTGGGAGAAATGAGCTCAACAGCACATATATGTCATCTGCCTAAAACCAAACCATAGAAAAAATATGAGCATAAATGGCAGATATTCTAGCAAAATATCAATACCACTAACCAACAAGGATGAATATGTGATCCTTCAAAACTTTTATGAGACATATATTCAAATAAGTCGTAAATTAAAAGATAAATAAGCAATACCAAACTTAATCTTTTTTTTTAAAAAATGCTTATTATGGAGTGTCTTGTACTCCCTCCGTCTTGTAAAAAACTTCATAGTTTCACTTCACAAAGTTCAACAAAAGGGTTGAAAAGTGAGAAGTGTGTGGTTAGATTTTATTTAAAAGATAGAGGAATGTTGTATGCAGTATGCACAAAAAACATTGTGTAAGAAGAAATAAAGAACATACTGTGATTCGAAAAAAAACTTATGGGCTAAAGGGAGTAAATTTGAGACACTATCTCTCTTGAATCACTTATAGTCATTATCTAACATGTCTAATTCAACTAAAGATTTAGAAGTAACAGTTCAAAAATCTCAAAAAGAAAGGCAGGAAAGGATTGTCTAAGCAGTCTGTTTCATAGTCAGTACAACTTATTCTAAACAGAGTCCTTTCAAAGATGTTTTCTCATAGCAATTGTTTGATGAATGCATATTAAACAAATACTTTGAGCTTATGGGAAGTAAAAGCTCATATCAGGTCCTGACTATAATAAAATTATATGATATTCTATGCTGACGGCAGGGAATGCTGAGCTTCCAATAATTTAGCTACAATTGAAAGCTTTCTCTAGATGATTAATGGAATTAAAAAGCAAACAAAAGATGTAATTTATGAGTTCTGAGGCTCGAAGTAATAACCCTAAGTGAGTAAATCATAATTATATTCGAGTACTAAGAAAGAATGCTCTTGCAAGACTCTTTTCAGCTTATCAGCAGGGTATGGTAAATTCTGATTAGAAAGGGATTCGTCAATCATCACTCTCAAAAGGAAAGCTGAGCATATGTCTATATAATGTAAGGAGTGCAGAAAATCAGAAAGAGTGAACATCCATTCAAATACATTAAATAGTTGATCCACAAGTGCACCATTGAACAGCAAATTAAAATATGCATAACACACCTTTACTCGACCCCAATCCATACCAACAACTGCTAGTCTATGAGTTTCCTTCTCAATTGTTTGTATAACTTCTTCCTGCATTCAATCAGAAAAGAAACAAAAATTCCTAACCTTCTGCTCTCAGTAGAAGCCATAAAGCCAAAACTTTTCATTCTTTACCTGCAAAAAAGTATCTTCTTCGTCCGAATAAACATCATCCTCTTCGTCAGAATCTGTTGTACTTGTTGAAGATGAACTGTCACTCTGAGCCTCCTCCTCACCTTCTTCTGACTCTGTGTCATCCGATTCTGACACCGAATTTCCTTTCTCTAACTCCTCATTCTGACTCTCACTTTGTCCGGCTTTAGTGCCACTTTCTTCTACTTCTTCCTCCTTCTCGTCCTCCTCCTCCTCCTCATCATCATCATCTTCTTCTTCTTCTCTTTCAGCATATTTGTTCTTCAACTTCTCCCTTCTCTTCAGTGATTCCTCCTCTTCCTCCTCGAGATGGTAATAGTCTTTCAGGCGATTCTGAGAAGAATCTTCCTTGTGCCTGCCTCTCTTATCAATCCTCGCCTTGGTAGGCGCGAACTTATCACCGGCGAAAATATGACTGAAACGGGAATCGATCACCACCTTCGTCTCGCGCTTCGGAGCTTTCCGGAACCTGGGATCCGTGTGAATAGATGCGAACCGAGGATCCTTGATGGTTTTGCTTCCACTATGGCGACTTCCGCCGCCGGATGCCGCCTTACCGGCACCGCCCTCCGATTTTCTCCCCTTCATAATACTCTTGTATTTTTTTCGGCTCTTTGATTCACAATGCTTAACTGTGACCGCCGGCGGAGGATGTCGGCGACCAACAAGCAGCTGTGGAGATGGGGAGAGAATCATCAGCGTAAGGAAGAGGAGCAAGGGTTTTAGAGGGGTATTTTAGGCACTTACAATTTTTCTACCCAAGTCGTCCCGCTATAAAATTTTGGGAAAAGCCCTGTCACACAAATTTATCTTTGAGCACAATTTTAGACATTAACATTAGTGTTTTAAATAAACTTTTAATGGTGAATATTATTTTGAAAATTTATCTTTTAAAATGTTAAGTTAGCACGGTAATTGACATAAAAGTTTATTCAAACATTCATTGTTCTTGCGTAAATTAACGTAATAACTCAAAATTTTAAAAAATAAATTCTATTTGAGGAACTAACTTGATTTGCATTTTCTATATATAGATACTAAATTAACTCAAATGAACTTACATGGGCCAATGTGATATGTGACATCAACTGATATACATAGAGAGACAAAATTACATATAATTTGGCTAAAATATGTTGAAATTGAGTGAAATTGCACGAGTGGGTGGGAAATAACATTCCTCAAGAAAAGTTTTTAGAATTAACATATTTTTACTCATTTTTTAATTTTTGTTTTATCCCTTTTTTGCCAGAAAAGTTTTTTTAAATTTCTTTTCAAATTTTTATACTCCTTCCGTCCACAAATAAACTTTACGTTCCGCGTTACGATGTTTGACTGAATTTATTTTCAAATCATTTTATATGAAAAATAGTGTAGAATTGAAAAATAAAAATTACATATTAAAAAATTATATCAAAAGATCTACAAAACTAGAGATGACATGACTATATTATTTTATCAAATGGGTGACGAAAATAGGCCAACAAAGTGAATAAAGTTTGACCCTGTGAATAGTGAACGTAAAGTTTATTTGTGAACGAAGGGAGTATTGTTTTTAAAAATTAAAAATTATTTCTGTTTGAAATCAAAATAAAAAATTAACATATAATCCATTTTATCTCAAATCAAACATTTTCACCTTTTGATTTGTAGAATTTTTTTTGTAACTTCAAAAATATGCAAAATAAAAAAATAAAATATGGAAAGACGAACTGAAAAAAATTAAAACATGCAAAAAAAAGTAATACACAAGAAATTTTCAAAACGCCTAAAAAAGTTAAATTAGGGATGTCTAAAATGGTTTCATTTTTATGTTTTGTTTTGTTTTATTTCTCATTTTTTGAAGTTCACAAAAAAAGTTTTTACTTTTTTATTTCAAAAAAATTAAAAATGATAAAAGGAACAAACAAATAATTTTTACTTGATTAAAAATAATAAAATATAATAAATTTTTTAAAAGTAACTAGAAAAATAACAAACCATTGATTAATAAAATAAACAAAAAAGGAAAAAAGGGGAACAAAAAAATAAACAAAAATAAGAAATGTTATGCCTCTATGGTTTAGAAAAAAAGGTACAAATGCTCCTTTCTTTGTTTGAAAAATGGCCGAAAAATGTGTACAACGTTTTGAAACCACGGGGATTTTAGAAATAATTTTACCTAGTTTGCCTTAAATTAAACAATGAAGAACTTCTCCATTGAGTGGTAAGAAGGGAAACGGAAAGTTTACTTATTCCATAAATAGCAAACAATCTGCTAATTGTTTGCCAAAAAAAGTAATTAAATGGAGTTAGATTAACTAACAAGTGGAACGGAATGGAGATTTAACGGCATGAATAGAGAAAGCGGACATTCTCCGCCCTAGGGCTACTTTACACCCGGAGTATAAAAAAGCTACCTGACCTAACTTTGTCTCTTCTCTCTCGTCGGCGCTCTCTTCACAATCCGCCGTCCAAATATTACCGCCGCCGACGATGCCCGCCCTATCTAAAAGCCTCTTCTCCGAACTGCCAGCTTGAAGCCCCCAGCCGCACAAGGTATGCTGAAGCTTGGGTTTTAATTTTTTTATTTTAAAAACGAAAAACCTTATCAGTAAAATCGCCCTTTTTGAAAAAGATGAACACCATCATCCATAAAGGTAGGTTTGTTATAAAGGGAGAGTTTTTCGTTAAAGGGGAGGGATGGCGAGAATAATGGAGTAGATAAGTGGGTGAGATTCGCTGATATTTGGATTAAATATTTCGAATAGAGGAAAAAGTATAAAGAACTGTAACCATCCAATAGTTTAGATTGGAAAGAAATCGAGGGGTGGATGTATGGGAACATGATTTGGATTTCAAATCTGAAATTACTCAAATTTCATGTTTGATAAATTTTAAAATTGAATTTGAATCAAATTCTTTTATTCATAGTAAAGCTTAAGTTGAAATCCGATCCATACACGTCCCCTTATTATTTGAAACTTAATATTTCAAATTTTAGAATTGAAATGCATGAATTAAAATGAAATGCTAGTTCTTTGCCTTAATGAATTTATGACTAAGAGCTTGTTTTTTGTTATTTCTCTCTTCTTGATCTGATTATATCTAATTAGATTAAGTTCTGACTTGATTTGATCTAATCTGATCTGGTTTTGATTGAAATTATATTTTAAGTTTTTTCTGATCTGATCTGGTTTGTTCTGATCTCTTTTCAGTAAGAATAAGTAATACTCCCTCCGCCCTAACACGTCCTTTCCATTTCTGTTTACGAGTCTTGACCAACTTTGTTTTTATTTTAATTTATTTTTTTAGGTGTAAAATTAAAAAAAATGACTTATACTACCTCCGTCCCATTGTCATTGTCCACTTTTGACTTTTGGAACTGTTCATCTAAGCACCTTGACTCATCAAATTCTCTTAATGTGTAAGCCTAAAAATAGTCATGTGTGATCTTGTTTGATTCGTGTTAACATATAGATTATTAATATATAATTTGTATAATTTTTTAATATACAAATTACAAGATAAAATGGATTAAAGAAGTGCATTGGATGGTGTGCCAAAAGGTAAGTGGACAAAGACAGTGGGACGGAGGGAGTATATTTAAAAACTACTCCCTCCGTCCTAAAATTATCTTCCTGTTTGTGTTTACGAGGTTTGTCCGACTTTATTTTCAATTCAATTTATTTGATTGTACGTGTAAAATTAAAAAATAAAATTATATATTTATAAACTACATCAAAAATTTTAAAAAAACAAAGGGTGATAAGACTATATTATTTTAGCAAATAACTAATAAAAATAGATAAACAAAGTGATTTAAGATTGACCGTGTGAATAGTAACAGAGAAGATATTTTGAAGCACAAGAAGTATATCAAAAGTTCTACAAAATAAGATATGACAAAACTATATTATTTTATCAAGCACGTAACGAAAATTTGTAAAAAAAATAATTAAAGTTTGACCGTGAAAAAAGTAACTGGAAAATTCGTTTTTGAAATAAGTAAAATAGTTTGATGGAAAAAATTAAAAATATGTAATAAGAATAAGTTGAACAGACAAAGTCTTAATCTTACTACTTATAAAGTACTCCGTATTATGTATTCTTTTTAGAATTAGATCCAAAATTGATTTTAAGAATTTCTTCTCTTCAACTTATTCTAATTATTTATAACTCATTCTTAACATAACTAGATTAAAGATGTGTTCCGCTCTTCTGATATGATCTGATCTGATTTTTGAAGTTCTTATTTGATTAGATCTGATCTGATCTAGTCTAATCTGAGTGGATCTGATCTGATCTGATATAAATTTGATTTAAATTAAAAATAAAATTATTATTATAATACTTATAATAGTAATAAAAATATTAATAATTATAGTAATGATAACAATAGTAATAATAATAACAAATATAATAATAATAATAGTAATAATAATAACTATAATAATAATATTAAGAATAATACTAATAATAATAATAGAAATAATAATATTAGTAGTAATAGTAATAATGATATTAGTAACAATGATAATAATAATAATAACAACAACAATAGTAATAATAATAATAATAGTTATAATTATAGTAACAATAGTAATAATAATAATAATAATAATAATAATAATAGTAATAGTAATAATAACAATAGTAAGAATGAATAATAGTAATAGTAATAATAATAATAATAACAATAATATTATTAATATTATTAGAATTAATAATAATAGCAATAGTAATAATAATTATAATCATAACATTAATAATAATAGTAATAGTAATAATAGTAGTAACAATATTGTTAAAAATAATAATATAGTAGTAGTAATAATAATAATATTAATTTTGTTTAGATTTGATCTGGTTTGGTGGAATCTGATCTGATTGAATCTGGTCTGATCTCATCTAGTTTGATCTAATCTAGCTAATCTGATTTAATTTTAATAAGAATAAGTAATAAACAGAAAAAATATATTGAACAAAACACTTCTTAAACCAGAATATATCAGAAATTTTTTTATATATAACTTGAATAAGATCATACAAGGACCCGACTAGATTAGAAATTAATCTAATCTAATCAAATGCAGTCAAATCAGATGAAGCAATCGAACTCTAAATATAACTTTAATCAGATTAGATCTTAATTCAATCAAATCAAACGAAGAGAATAAATCCTAAGGGGATTGTTTTTTATTTGAAATTTCAGTTTTGAATATTAGGAAGAAATTGAAAGAAGTTGGTAAGGAGCTGGAAAAAATAAAATCTTGAAGGAGATTTAAAAAACTAGAATGGTTTGGAAAATATTAGAAAAGGTTAACAAATGTTTGGAAAAAATGAAAAAAATTGAAATGTGTCTTATATATATATATATATATATATATATATATATATATATATATATATATATATATATTGGTGTCATTATTGAAAAAAAGAAATAGATCATATAATGAAATATAAAAATTTTCATTGTTTTGAAGCATGCATATAAAATGAATTACAACTTTTAGAAATCTTATTTATAGACTACATTTGTAGTTTGATTTGGGGGATTGAGGGAACATTATCAGAATAAGCCATTACGATTTGTTAATCCTAAAAGCGTAACATATAGTTCAGGACTAAATATTGGTTTCCTTAACAATAATCTTACGTGTTTTCGAGATTAGACTTGACTCTTATAAATTTGAGTTCTTGACATTGTCGAAGCAAATATAAGTTTGAGATTCACTACTAGGATTCGTCAATGTCATATATTCAAAGGGAACCAAAAAGAAAACAAGATATAAAAAAGTATATACATTACATTACACGACTTCATTATCATTTTCATTATATTTCTATTCCATAATATTTATAATACTCCCTCCGTCTTAAAATTAGCTTCTTAGAGTCGAAGAGTATATGGGTTAGTCTTACCGTGTGCATATGTGTGTGGATGTGTATTTTCCTTTCTTTTTTAAGAGTTACTTTTTGTAATGTGATCCTTCAGGACATACTTTGGTGTTTGCCAATTTGGTTGTGCAAGCACTATTCAAGTATACTCATTTCCCTCAGAACTTGTTAGAGATAAAAAAGTAAGTCTTGTGTATCTATATCAGTCATAATATCATTAATGAAAGTGTTCTGGTGAAGTCATTCATACTTATGTATTATGATTGTCCGATTTGTTTCTGCAAACTCTGTTAAGTCCAGAGTATATTGTTCTCGTGTAGGAAAGTGTTCTTAAAAATGCAAGCCCATCAGCCACCTCCTCGACTCAAGAATACTGCTGATCCTAATTTGCCATGGCTTATGGGTTTGAGAGCCCCAAAAGAGTATGCATGTCCCCTCTCAACCTCACCGTATTATCTTCCGCGCAAGATGCGCGAAGAAGTCAATTTAGAGGAGATCTCAATGGTTGTTGTTTCTCTTAAAAACTATTTGAGTTAACTTTGACAAACTTAATTTTGTGGTTATTTATAAACATCAAATCTTACTCAAAGTCGTGGCTAATGAAATACAGGATTTCGATGATTGGGTGTACAACTCCCCGAACAAAGACCTCTGGTCTTTTGCTTTCATGAAGGACTGGAAATTTGGATTCTTGAGCTGTTTGGGCCGTGCATTTTCTCTATCTTCCTATTATAAGGAGGGCCTGCGTGCCATTTTTGGGCATGTATATACAGAAACCGTTGTTGGTGGAAGATATCGCCCAAAGTTGGGAACACTTATACGGCAATGTAATGGTGTGATCTCAATAGATACATCAAACTCATCCACTGAGCCTGGTAAAACATGGAAGATTATTTTCTTTTCTTTCTTTTTTTTTGTTTCTTTATTGAAATCAACTTGGTTAACTGATTTTGTGTGTGTGTTTTTTGTTTTAATAGTCAATTCCAGTAACATACTGGAGACCATCGACACACTTGTTATGCTGGTCAAACATGTCATCGACTTCGTGCCCCTCGATAAACCTAGTGCGTACCCGGACGAGGTCACAAGATTTTTCGAGTTATGTAGATTACCTCGATGCAAGTCTGATCTTGAAATCCAAAGGTACTTCATATATTCATGTATCTTGAAACTTTTTATGTAATTTGCTCAGCAAATGGAAATTGAAAGAG